TCTAAACATTTTAATTAGGAACGAACGATCGAAGATGAAGACCAAATTACGCATCTGAACTCTCAAATTGATGTATGTATCCTTCATAGTGTTGCATAGACAAACCATTTCTACCTTTTAAAAAGAGAAAAATATCGATATCCATATGTGTAAAATATCGATATCCGTTCGTCCTATGTCATGATTGTCTTTTACAGAGAAAATGCAGACATACCAACACAGCTACAAAACGCAATAATTCTTTTTACATAGATCGCTGTGAAGTCCACCAATCCGCAGTGGGGTCGCACGATGGATTATGCATTACACTTTGTACAGAAGAGGGCTTTGCCTAGCAGTGGGACATAATTGTTAAGGCTGTCACTTTACTTTTAGTTTACATAGATCGGACTTAAATAAATTATAAATAATATTAAAACGTTAAATTAAAACGTAGACGTAACGTAAATATTAAAACGAAAGAAGCCACAAACAACAGTTTTACTCAACGATAGCTATATCCGTGGATTATCAAATATGTATATTATCTATAATATACCCTAATTCGTAAACGATTTGCTAATTGTTAAACGGTTACTCAAAAAAATCAAGAAACTAAAAATTCAGCGTATTTTAGAGTATTACATAAGAGATCTACCAGCTGCGTGTGTGAAACTGAGGCATCTTGTTGAGATGAGTTCTTGAGAGACGTACCTAGTCTAAGAGCAGGAATGAGGGCTTGTGCTGTCCCTCGTAAATTTCCAAGACGCGGCTATATAAAAGAACATATTCCTTTCTCTTGACAACACACTTGACAAGCAAAACAGTGGTCGGCGCACATTGTACTTGTCGGGATGAAAAAAATAAAAATTCGAATAACAACGAAACCTAAGACAGATTGGTTTACGGAATAAGATCGTAGAGACCTTTAAGTCATAATATCTTAAAGAACTCTTCATATTCAAATAGTATTGAAATTTTATCAAAACAGCGGGAAAAGTAATGAGCCGAATTTATCGAAGACAAAACCATTGGAAAATGCTTAATTATATGATAACCTTGCTCACCCGCCTTTGCATGAGTAAACAAACGAAGTTACGTTAAATTTACCGTTTCACAATTTAGAAAATATAAATATTAAACAGGCACTTAACTTGGTTAGTTATATGAATACCTTATCCGCTTTTCCGCCGTTTCCACCGACTTATCTACACGTATTGAGATTTCTAAACAAAAGAAATGTTGTGATAAATAATAAATTTATTATTTTTGTTACTTATGTTTTTAAAAGATAATTCTAAAAGCAGGTACCCTGAGACGCGGCAAAAATTTTTCAATTCTTTTATAAAGCCCTCATTGATATCATTTTATCGGTTTATTTTATCATTAAAAATGACTGCGTGGTGTATTTTCGTTGCCATAATTAGTAAAAGCAAAAAGAAAATTTCCCGAGATGTCAGGCAGATTTTCAACAAGAATATTAATTGTTTAATACATCATGACATCATTATCTCCATTTGTATGCCGAGGTGATGTTGAACACCACAACGATTGAGATGATTGAGTGAGAAAGGAATCGGTACACCAATAGTTGGAAACAATGTTTTCATATCTAAGTCACGTGGAAAACACAAAAAAGAAGTAATTTTGCAACCGCATTTTGCAACCTTAACCTTATTTAGTTACAAAGCATTGTGGTCTACATGGTTAAGGTCGTAAACAAAGAAAAAATTTTGGTGATATACATTTGTATAAGGGGGTAATACATCTATACTATATTATAAAGAGGAAAGATTTGATTCTTTGTATGTATTGAATAGGCTCCGAAACTACTGAACCAATTTGAAAAATTCTTTCACTGTTGGTAAGCTACATTATCCCCGTTTAATATACATTATATTTCCAAAAAAATAGGGATCCTTACTAAAACTTCAATAATGTAACTCAAAGTGTACAAAAATTACCTAAAATGTTCTTTACATCACGTGCGCTGCGAGAACTATTGATGACAGAATATGTACTACGAATTTGCAGAACACATCATTATTTGCAAAAAGTGTCGCGAGAGCATATGTCTAACTATTATAGTTATGCCACAATAACTGTTCTTTTATTTTAAAATTTTGATTGAAATGCCGCCCATAGAAAAGGCTCTTTATTCGTATCTTGGTATTAATCCTTTTAAAATAAATTACTTCATATTTAAGACTGTTTCAATATCTTTATATAACTTTTTGAATTATAAAATTCGGACATTCCATTCGAAAGATATCACAAATTTAAAAATGTTAGTATATTGTAATTTAATTATCCAAACAGCTTAGTGACTGACTTAGTAGTTCTTATAATTTTTCAATCACATTTATACTGGTAATTCCAGTTTGACAGTTAGCAAATAATTAAGTAAAAAGGCAGTTTAATGTTTTTTATCATTTTAAAATGCCCAAAAGATCAAAATCTCATCTTTCTAGAAATAGTTCCCAAGCGAGGGCATCAAAAATACGTCGTAATGAGGAATCTTTACCGGAAAGTGTAAATCATCTTACAAGTCGGACAGTGTCAAGTAGAGCGGCTTGAAGAGCAAAATAATATAAATACACGAAGTCACACGAGGGAATCGAGCTCTGAGCGTTCCCCACGCCTACGAGATTAGTGAGAAAGACAACAAACGTCAACGACTAGAGTTCGTAATCGAGTTTTAGCTCACAGTAACAGATCAGCTTTTATGCATTTTGCTCAAAAGTCTTCTGTCCAAATCGCCAAAAAATGGGTCAATGAACCAAATGGTATATGCTTTGCTTCTGGAAAAGTTAGTCTCTCCAATATTGAGGAGCCGCCTCAGCCAATAAAAAATCTTTTGACAAATAATCATTCACCATCTGGACATTTTTAACCAACATCCGAAAGTACAATAGCCTCTTTCAAATGACTTCGTTTGACGCGAACTTTTAAAATAGAGGGACAAGTATACAAGTTATCATCATCCTCCTCCCCCTATCCCACCTAGGGGGGTCCGGCACAACATGAATCATGTTGTAAGCGGTTTTGGCTATATATATTTTTTTACATGAAAAGTTGCCAAGCGAGCAGGCGGTTCACCTGATGTTAAGTGAATACCGCCGCCCATGGACATCTGCTACACCCGAGGGTTGCAGATGCGTTGGTCAATCTTTTGAAAATTGGGCTACGGCCACCTCACTCACCAGACGAAACGCGAAAGTATTATACTTCCACTTTACGTCGGTCTTCTGTGAGGTCGTGGTACTTACCTGGACGAGCCTGCCCATTCGTGCAATAGCCGAGGCTTCTGCGTGGCTCTACCACCGTTTAAAATTTTTTACAACCAGCCGCCTGCCCGACGTCAACCCTCCTTGTGAAACAATTATCCAGATCAAATTTCAACTGTGTAACTATCACGGTTCATGAGATACAGCCTGTTGACAGAGGGACAAACAGACAGCGGAGTCTTAATAATTTTTCACGGAGTTTTACCCTTTGGGTACGGAATCCTAAAAAGGCCCCACAGACATAGTGTTGCACGGTAGACACGTCCAACTTAAGGATCTCTGAGTTACACCGATTGTATGATCCACTAAAATGTCCCTTAATAATCGTAATAGGAGAAGACGGTTAATATTTGACTATTCCCCAGCAAGGTACTGTGCGCAACAAAACTATGACATGCATGCAATGTTAAGGTTGATGGTTAGAGCTACCTGTTTTAATCCATTGCAATATTACTGGGACTTATAAGGGTTCCGTACTCAAAGGGTAAAACCGCACCCTATTACTAAGACTCCGCTGTCTGCCTGTATGTCCATATGTCACCAGGCTGTATCTCATGAACCGTGATAGTTAGACAGTTGAAATTTTCACAAACGATGCATTTCTGTTGCCGCTAAATCCATAAAACAGGCTCCCATAAAAAACAGACATGATTTTTTTGCCGTTTTTATAGATAATGTTGACAGTGGTAGTGTTTTTGACAATATGTAAGTGTAATACTTCTATTGAATAAAGATATTAAAACATGATTTTTTTTTAATGTGACAGAGTGGCAAACGAGCTGGCGGTTCTTCTGATGTTAGGTGATAACAACTGTGTTGCCAACATTAAAAAAGTGGGCCCCGGTTACCTCTCTCACCAGACGAAACGTAGAAGTATAACACTTCTATTTTACGCCGGTGGTCTGTGAGGTCGGTACGGAACCCTTCGTGTGCGAGTCCGACTCGCACTTGGCCGATTTTTATTCAATACATTGTCGATATGATGGCAAAAAGATAGCAGTAAGATTGAATTACATATGAAGTCGTAATCACCAGAGATTGAGAGCTGGTAAAACATTCATCTTAGAGACGCTTTAAATCAAGACATTGGCCCATCAAATATCGGTCAATGCGTAATCTGCAACGTCATATTCATTTACAGGTTCTCCGAGTTATCTGCATTAAAAAATCAAAGATGCGATGATTTATGCCCGAAGCTATGGGAGAACAGACTTATTTGTCAATTTTACGTGTAACCCCGAATGTCCCGTAATTAAAGCGGAACCATTATCTGGTCAGCGGTCTTTCGATCTGCATGACGTAATTTCAAGGGTATTTCATTAAAAGATGAAGAAATTCATAAAATTATTCACCAAAGTTTATCATTTTCGATTTCTCATACAAATATCAATGCCTCTTATTTATGCCCGGAATTATTTAATTGCTCCCTCTGTCTACCCTGTAATGCTTAAAAGACTTAACGTAGATATTGAGCGCAGCTTAACCACAAAACAGCTAATACCTGTTACCAAATTGAATTTGTTAACCTCATTATGACGACTCCACATAACGAGACAGCCGTCGGCATGATTAATAGGAAAAACAAGTTTTCGTCACACACGCAGTTTAAAAAAACAAACCACTCATTCGCTTCTTTACTACGTAGATTACCCTGGGAACGTTTGTTCATTGTGCTCCGACAAAGAGGCTGTGGCATCAGTTATACTTTTATCAAGTAATGAAAGACTCGTAAACATGGCATACGATGACATCCAAAATAAGACTGACGGTAACGTAATATGTATCTCGTGTAACTATTTACATCACAAACGGCGCGATTGCGAGAAATTCTCGGTGCAGAATTAAAGCGTACCGAATTGCGAACGTTACGAAACTAAGATGCCGATTATGTGCAGGCCGAAGAACTATTTTGAAATTGGTGCATTTAATTATCATAATGCAATTTGACGCCCAATTAATGATTGCATAGTTAAATGGATTCCTCGATTACAATGATTCTAAGGCTAATTTGGGAGGATGATTAAGAATAAGAAAACGTACAGACCCCTTCAACTCTTATATGGATTATTAATTAAAGTGGAGGTCGCAAATAAAGACGCGTATCTGATTGCACCTAGACAGGTGCGGTGTCAAAGACATCGGATATCGCAGTCACGGGGCTAGAAAGCACTGGACACACGCGGCCCGTGTAAACCCATTCCACTGGTATAAGCACGTGCTCCAAATGCCAACTAGCCAGTGAAACGCAAGCGGCCAAACGTCAACCGCCATAACAATCTAATAGGGCAACACTTTCAACAGATAATGCTGTGGATACTTAAAGGTGGGCGTGAAGAACATTAGATTATGCGCCGTATATTAGATTATACCACAGTGTAATCAAATTTATTTGCAGCCTTGCAGCAGCTTCTGCCGCATAAATATTTCGCCTGGTTCTATGAACGATCGAACCCGGGCCTAACCCAAAAGGATGGTAACGCCAACCACGCATCCTTCAGGTTTATGGGCGGCGGAAATCACTCACTATTAGGTCAACCGCCTGCTCTATTTCTACGTTTCTTTCTCATCGAAAAGACGATGCGATTCAAGGCTGACAAACTGAATACCGTTCTCGTAAATGGCCAGCCTCTCCCTTATGGAGGGCGCCGCTTTGCGAGCCCTCGCGTCGTACATCGCGGGCGCGGATGCGGCAACACTGACTGAACGCACCACGGAAGCCGGGCAGCGTGTCACGGCCAACTAACAGGATTACCTGTTCCATTGCGATGGCAGCCCGAACGACAGATAGGGGCCACGAGACAACTTAACCGGATTATGGTCGTGGGTCGACCACACTCGGCGTGGCGCTTGGGCCGACCTTATGATGCGATTAGTGGTTCGTCAGTGCAGATTCTCGGTGATTACACCAGAATTATGCATTTAAGAAAACTCTGCAACAGTTTTCATTGAAGGATGCAATGAAACGAAGTTTTAAAACGTTTATTAAGTAACATTACACGAATTACACACGGGGTTTTATTATTACAGCCATTGATTAATACATTTTCGTGAAGTACTAACCGAAAGCGAACAATTAATAGTGATATCGCTATATTTCGAACTAACAGGTATATTAATTCGCACCATATTTCAACATTTACATGTAATTTATTGAGAACGATATAAAAAAACGGTAAAGAAAATATATCGAAATTATATATAACTTCAAGTAAATTAGTTTTAAATACAAATATAAACACGTATTCGGATAATACGTATTACAATTTTTAAATGAATAATAAAAAATTGTGAAACCCGATGTCCATTCGAAGACCTTGACGGAAAAACGTTGATGAGTGGGTAATTAAAATGTAAAGAGTGTAATAATTAGAGGTGCACTTAGCATACAATTGTTTAAATTATGTTGCAATATCAAACAGTAATGTTTTAACCGAGGTTTATGAAAACATATTATGTACTATGGAATTATAAATTTCCAACATTATTCTAGCAAAAAAAAACAAAAAGTCTTAGACACGTATCGTTAGTTATTACGGAAAAAACTAATAAATTCATATTTAACGATCCGAATTTTTTCTTATCTTTAATACAGTACTAATTTATACCGAACGATAAGCTTCGTTGTAAAATTTTACTGTATTAATGATTGTTATAAATTATAATAATAATCATTAAAGAAAAATTAGCATCTATATCTATTTAAAACTAAGGTGTATGAAGCTGAACACTTCGTAGCCGTAGTATATATAGACAAATGTGATACGGAAATCAGATTTATTTATGCATTTTAAAAAGAAAATATTTCAATAAAACGAACTTAAACGTTCTACGTCGACAAAAGATCCCGTGGTCATGTTTTCCATAATCTCTTCTAGATGTCGAGCATTTAAAAAAATGAATCGTAAAGCATCCTGGTTATAAAATATTTGGCACGTGATAAAACACAACACAATGATTAAAGCAGCAGGATTGTGAAAGTTGCATTATTCTATACGTATTAAATTAATCGATGAAATACGTAGTTGTCTAGTGGAACACGATGGTGAAAATATATCATAACAGAACTAGCATATAAGTTCCCTATTAATACGTCATACAAACGCTGCTGTCGTGTTGAGACGTAGTAATGAATCATTGATCAAGTATCATTGTAATTCGTTACAAATCAACGTACAGCATGCTAGGTATTGTTATTTACTTCGTTACATTCCCGATGTTTTACATTTTAAAGATTTGTTTACAAAATTCAACCCGCTTCGAGATTTACTACAATAAAGTTCGCTTCGTAAACATAAACGCCGGTATAAATCTAGCGATGTTTACAACTGAGATGTAAACAAATAAAAATAACGCAAGCCTATTATTCGATTCGACAATCTTACCAATAAACTATGATCATTATAAGTTATTTACTCACTTCGTGACTTTCTTAGATTTTTGAAACGAAATAAAACTCAAATGTTTGAAGCTCACGCCTAAAATTGGTTTGGCGACTTTGGCGTCCCAGGTCAGTTTTCACTAGTGTTTTGTTCGATAGCGATGTTCCATAACAAAAGATTCGTGTGGCGGTCGCCAGCGGGTTACGGCTAACTCGTATTAACACAGGCAGTTTTTGCTATTGAGAGTTAAAAAAGCTTAGAATAATATAACGTGTTTCTAAAGGATAAGTTATTTTTAATAGCTTGTAACCAAATTACAATATAAAGTATAATAATAATCATTTAGGAGTAATGTAACCTTGAGTAAAAGTCGATTAATCATTTCCCTATGAATTATTCATCGTAGAAGTTTGCAAAATTGGCAGTTAAATACTGTTATACCATAAGACGATCAACTATGAATAAATCAGGACGAAACATGGATAGGAGGAGTCAATGACTGTAATAGTGAACAGCGAAGAAGTTTTATAATCATCATCATCATACCTAATAACGAGATTATTATGTGAAAATCCATACTTCAAAATCATCTAAGTAAAAAGAAAATAAAGAAATTCTTTTGCGTTTTAATAATACAGACTATTATTTACTGATATCATTACCATAATTCAGTTTATAAATATTTATAACTATCTACACACTAATACATAAATGATATAGCATAAGGAAGATATCACAGAGTTATACTGTTAAAAACGAAAAAGAAATTTCGACAAGTACTTAAAGAATTTGAAATATTTTCACTCATAATTGTACACGCTATTAATAATTTATTTCACTTTCATTAAATTACAATAATATCCACCAAATAACTCATGAGAAACTACTTGCACTGATTTTTGACAACTTATATGACGTACACAATTTTATTCCATATTTTTAATAGTTAATATTTTTTATCAATTAAGTTAGAATTGTATTATCAATTTTATAAGCTTTAGTAACTTACCTGAACGAAAATTCTTCTTGGGTTCGTTTTCTACGAAGAAAATTAATTCCACTGATTTTACGCTTTTATCAACAAAACCAGTCAATGAATGAAATAATTATAAATAAAATATCACTATGAATTACGAAGCAAGTGCGTATTCACTGCAACTACACACATCCACAACGTTTCATACCAGTTGGCTGATTTGATTGATAAACAACAACCGACCTCGGCAGCGCGCGCAATTGTCTTGTGTGTTGCTCTCATACAAACATGCAAAGTATAGATAGAAAAAATCGTATATAAAATAGTAACATATAAAAAAATTATTTCATAACTTGATATTAAAATGATTTTGGATTATTTCTTTTTCAATTTTGAAATCCTTGCCAATTGACTTTACCCTTCAAACGACATGATGAAACATCTTACAATATGACTTAAGTCTTTTGAGGGGTAAAGCCTCTAACCTCCATGATGTCTAATGCATTTTTCAATTTTAACTTCAATTTTGTGAATTTTTCGGTTTCTTAAGAATGGTGTCGTAAAGTAACACAATGAAAATTTACACCACAATTATGTAATAATTAAATTTCATAAATTAAATTATTTTATGTAATGTTCTATTAACAAGCCTTTTTTAAATATTAGTTAAGATATCTGACAACACCACAATATAAAATTTTATGACTTTGACATTTGACATTTTATTTCATTTAGATCGCCAGGGCCGTAACGCCTAAAAATACTGAAAACGATTAGAAATACGTGTAATTAGTGAGAATATACCTGTAAAATGGGTTACAAATTTTTAAAGCTTGCAACCTCATCAGCGAAGGTAAATAAAATTAATTTGTAATTTATTGTACAGCTAATGATGGATTCCAAATGTTATGCAACGAGTCTGTTGTAAAATGATGTTGATAATTTGTAAATCATTTCATTTAAAATTAAGTTTATTTCACCATCACCTACTATGCAAAATTTTAAATAGTATTAACTTCTGCTTAGGATCGACCTACAAACATGTGACCGTTTGTCAAATTGAGGACTTTAGTGGATAAGAGATATATTGTTCATTCTATTTTGAAAAAAGTTATACTGTTCTTTACCGTAGAAACTAAGTAAAAGGCCCAAATTTTTAGAAAAAATTCAAATCGATATGAACAATTTGATTATTATGACAAACTTAGCCAAAGTTCAGATGATTTCTTACTTTTACTCGTTCTAGGGAAGCAGTTTACGTATTGCAGCAAGACAATATGCAACAACACACGATGCCGATATTGTCGTTATTGGTTCAGGCCCTGGCGGTTATGTAGCGGCTATTAAAGCAGCCCAACTGGGCATGAAGGTAGAAGTTCATGATTTTAAACTGATTCGGTATTTTCTTCCATTTACTGCAATTGCTTCTTTCAATTTTAGACCATTTCTGTTGAGAAAGATCCAACTCTTGGAGGAACATGCTTAAATGTTGGCTGCATTCCATCTAAAGCCCTTTTGCACAACTCTCATCTATACCACATGGCTAAGCATGACTTCAAGAATCGAGGTATTGAAGTGGGGAATATCTCATACAACTTTGAAACAATGATGAAATACAAGGAGAATGCAGTAAAGGCATTAACTGGTGGCATTGGTATGCTGTTCCAGAAAAACAAGGTAAGGCATTGTATATAAAGGTTTAAATCCTAGGAACAGCATCTAATATAAGTTGCTCGAAAATTCCTTGATAGTGTACATGAGGTAAAAAGTAAATAAATATTGAATTTTGTCTATTCTATTAAATATAAATATAATACAAAAAAATATCATTTTTGTATATCAACATTTAATACAATGAGATATCAATAGAAAGCAGTTTTATGTTACAGAATGTTCACTTTCAGTTTTATACAAATTTTATTGAGTTGCTCTTTTTATGGATTCTAAAAGTGATAGTTCTAAGTAGTAGTCTAAACTTCATTGGATGTAAATAAACACCACACATGCTGAAAATACTATAATGATTTCAACACATTTTTAAAAGTTTTTTTAAAACTCTTTCCTCAGGTTCAATTGGTCAGAGGTGTAGGTTCTATTGCTGCACCGAATAAGGTTGAAGTAAGAGGTGAGAAAGGTGTTGAAACAATCAATACCAAAAATATTCTGATTGCCACTGGTTCGGAAGTGACACCATTTCCTGGAGTTACCGTAAGTAATTATTTTATTATTCATGATTGAAACATATTATATCAAATGCTTAATAGCAATATATTTGTGTGCATATGCAATAAATGTGATAAAATGAACATAGAAAGTAATATATAATAATGTAATATTAGCTGTACCTATAGTTTTTGAAGTTTGATGAGATAGTTTGTTCATAGACATCCAGTGTATAATAGTTAATAACCATATTGGATTACTATTGAAGCTATCTAGAGCTGTGATATCTCTATCATGAGGTTTCTGGATGTTCACTTTTATTTCAATTTACTTGAGGAACCAGAGTTTAAATACCAAATATCTAAGCTAATCAAAATTAATTATCATGCTGCTAGTGAGCTGTTATTTACTGAGTTGTTGTTCTAGTGTCGACCTTAATAATTGGTTTTGTTGGCTAAAGCTCTGTACACATGGCCAACATTTGGGACATATATGGGCAGTCAATTTACTTTTTTTATATTTAAGATCACAGGTATGATCGCAGATAGCAATTATTCTATAATTGTTATCTGGAATCATTTGATAATTACTAGGTAACTAATTGATAGTTACTAGATTTTAATGGACACTCCAAAACTTATTGGCTATCTTTCATTGCCTTAAAGTTATGTAAATTATTTATTGCTATAAGAAATACACTCAGTTTTTTATAAAATTTTATTGTGCTAAGTACTGCATTAAATTAATATAGACAAATGAATAATGTATCACTAGATAAAAATGTCTCTTTTAACAAAAACAAAGTTTTCTTTTATGAATAATGTTTTCTTTAATGTAATATATACATAATTCTTTCTGTTTTACTTGAGATAAAACTTCTTAAATTTGTTTATACCTTAGTGGTATACAGCGTGTCGTTACCATCGCGTCAATAAATGAACACACGTCTAACACTACTTGCCAATAATCATAAAAAAATATTAATGTTAAACAAAATCCATAATTAAAAAAAAATATTTTTCAAACAAACTAATTAAGTAAAAAAGAAACAAAATTTGTAACGTCCTATACAACTCGCGCCACAGCGTCGTATTACAAGCCTCTCCTTCTAACAGTATGTTTTGTCTCTTTTAAATTCATTCAACCCATTGATATATATGCTTTGTGACCTTTACAAATAAACTTTACGTTACGCTTTTATAGGTAAGGGTGTTCTAAAATTCTTTGTTTTGGAAAATTTAATAACTCTGAAAATATTGGTGTTTAAAGAATTTAAATGTTTAATACAACTTTAAAAAATTATCCCCTATATGTGTGTTTATTTCTTGTCGCGATGGTAACAACATGCTGTATACATTCTTACACACAATTACAATACACAGTATAACTAACATATTACTTGGTTGTTATCTCCTCATATATCTATGACCTCAAATATGGGACTAGTATAGGTTTCGTCATTACAATCTTGTACTTTACATGACCCCATGAATAATTCACTATTATTTTAACTAACATTTCTAGGCCGTATATAAAATGTCTTAATTCAAATGTAGTTGGTACTTCAGAAGACCCTGACACTGTCAGTGATTACTATGTATTATAAAAAAATTACTAAAACATGACAATCATGTTAGTTTAGTTGGTGCTAATGCTGATCAGTAGGCCAATACACTATGATAATATCTTTTATAGTATCATTTAATAACAGACAATATACACCCCACTGCTGGGCAAAGGCCTCCTCTGTATAGAGGATATTAGGACATAGCCCACCACGAGGCCTTACTGCAGAATGTTGGACTTTATATACCTTTAAATATTTTTTTATTATTTTGAAAATATTATGCAGGTTTCCTCTCGGTGATTTCCTTCACTGCTGAGCACTTGATAAGTCAGCACTTAACAATTTCATTGGTGCCGTTATTAGTATTGAGTTCAGGTTGGTTGAGGTAAAAGCTAGCGCCTGGTCAGTGAGATATCATAGCTCACTAAAAAGAAGCTTTTAAAAAGAAAATGTCATATACAATAACACATTTTAATTTGCCACTCCTTTGGTCGACAGATTGATGAGAAGCAAATCATAACATCAACTGGCGCTCTATCCCTCACATCTGTACCTAAGAAAATGTTAGTGATTGGAGCAGGTGTTATTGGATTAGAACTTGGCTCCGTGTATCAAAGGCTGGGAGCTGAAGTTACTGCCATTGAATTCCTGGAAAGTATTGGAGGTAAAGATACTGCCATTATAACATATACTCTACTGTCCAAAAGTTGAGTGCACATGAAACAAAAAAGGTGCTCTCCGAATAAATTCAATAAAACTATCAATTGACCAGAGGCTTACAACATTCTACTAAAAGTTTTTATATTTGATGAAGCGGGACAATTAATTGGATTTAATATTCCATATTATCTTATGTTTAAAATTAAATAAGAGTTTTGTGTTTCCTTAGACTCTATGCTAGTATTGTTTTTTAGGTTATTTAAGTTCCTTTTATTACATTATCAATTAAAAATTATCTGTATTCATTATTTGAGCTAATATTTGTATCATTGGTGGTGGTGCTTGTTTGGACAATGAAAACCTAGTTTTCATTGTCCAAACAAGCACCTGAACATGAAGTGAGCATGAAGTGTGCTATTTTAAGATTTTACCAGAAATTTACTACAGTTGTGATTGTGACAAAAAATATGTAATGCGTAATAATTTATAGTTCAGAAATAACTATGAAAATTATGGTTCTTATTAGCTACATAGGCAGTCCCTAATTTGGTAACACAACAAGTACTTCTAAATACTGGTGGAGCTAGTCTTTGGAACGGGAATTTGTATATAGTCATACTCGTAACAATCGACACTAGAAGAACATAATTTGAAAAGAATATTTGCCTGGAATATGCGGGTGTCGAATATTATTAATTCAATTAATTTTTAATATTCCATAAATTCAAGTAAATTCCAAACTTTTTCGATGGCAGTGTACTGTATACATAATTATATGTATAAATGTTATTGTATAAACATTTATCATTTATATTTTAGCTCAACCTAATTTTGATACTATTGCATCTTATAGGTAAAGCTATTTAACACTCGTAACATATATAAATGAAGTAATGACATTGTTGCATTAATTTCGGAAATGTTTTAGGTGTTGGAATTGATGGAGAAGTATCTAAAGCCCTGCAGAAAATTCTTGCAAAGGAAGGCATGAAGTTCAAACTTGGCACGAAAGTATTGGCAGTCAAAAAAGAGGGTAATATTGTGAAAGTTGATGTGGAATCAGCAAAAGGGGGCAAGAAAGAAACGGTATTTTTTGTATTCAAACAATTAATGTATAGATTTTTTTTGTACTTATTCTATGTCCTGCATACATAATAATCATGGTAAGAATAAATATTAGTCCTATAACATCAGTTTTTACTTCAGTTTTTCATTTCAGCTGGAATGTGATGTAGTTCTAGTCTCTATTGGAAGACGACCTTACACTAAAGGTCTGGGATTAGAAAAAGTGGGCATCGCGTTAGATGACCGTGGTCGTGTACCCGTCAACAACAAATTCCAAACAACAGTTCCTGGGTAAATATTGAATCATCAAATTGTGCAGACTCTGTAGCAAATCTATCTTGCGGCTACAAAAGCCAGTGTGTAATAATTATAACATAATTGTTCCATAGTATTATTGCATAATTAAACTAATAATTGATTATTTTTTATTTTTGTACTCACTCCACAATATCCCTGATCATCATAACTTTAAGAAGAAGGGAAATGTCAATTGCATTAAGACTTATTTTAAAATCAGTCATTATAAAAGTTACAATAACTTTTAACTTTCAAAAGTATCTGAAAATAAGCTAGTGTTATACGTAAAGCAAAAATTAAATGGACAGAGAAAACAGCATTATCAAAGCTGAAAACTTTCCTTACAGAATATACGCAATTGGTGATTGCATTCATGGCCCTATGTTGGCCCACAAAGCTGAGGATGAAGGCATTGTGTGTGTTGAGGGTATTAAGGTACGAATTATATTTTACTAAGGTGTCTTATTTCTCGCTTATAATAATAGTTTTCTAGCCAACCTACAGTCTGTTAATAAAAGCTACCAGTGAAAACATTGAAAATGTATAAAATTTATGATACATGAAATTCACAGAATTTGACATGTAATCATATTGAATAATATTACGCTACAGGAAGAAAATATTTACAAAATTATACTTTGCTTCAGGGCATGCCTGTACACTTTAACTATGATGCCATTCCATCCGTGATCTACACAAGTCCAGAAGTAGGCTGGGTTGGCAAATCCGAGGAAGATCTTAAGAAGGAGGTAAGTGTCATTCCTTTTCATGTAGCACCATCTTTTGAACGAAAATAAATGATATTCTCAATTACAGGGTAGGGCGTACAAAGTGGGTAAATTCCCGTTCCTCGCCAACTCCCGGGCTAAGACTAATGGAGAGCCTGATGGCTTCGTTAAAGTACTCGCCGATAAAGCCACGGATGTAATCCTTGGTACACACATCATTGGCCCTGTGAGTAACTTTAAAGCCACTCCTTACATTCAATTCTACTTGTTAATAAAGTTTTTATGAGTGGTATATGCTGGAGTAGAAATACTCCTGTCATTATGATTAAGTTCACTAATGGCATATTCATGAATAATATTAGACCATTTAACAATAATGATGAAAATACCTATAAATTTGCAGGGTGGCGGTGAATTGATCAATGAGGCTGTACTGGCTCAAGAGTATGGCGCTGCCGCCGAAGATGTCGCCAGAGTTTGCCACGCTCATCCCGTAAGTTAAACTGCTTACTTATCCAAACAATATGATTATTGCGAATTTGAAAGCTCGCTTACCATGTTTGTTTTCAAAACTTTGTAAATTACTCATTTTCAAGATGTGTTCAAATTTTTTATTAGTTTAGTATATTTGTATAAGAAACCCCAAAAATGGAAAGAAATTAATCTTTTCCTTGTTACCTATAACATCAGTTTCTTGTCCCAACAAAATTCTCAATAATTAACATAACAATTTTCCTTTATAAGTAGTTATTTGGGATATCTGGAAGAATATTATGCATTCTAATAATTAATGAAAATCTTTATTTTCAGACTTGCTCAGAGGCGCTCCGCGAAGCTAACTTGGCCGCATACTTTGGAAAACCAATCAATTTCTAAAAAAAAGTCAAATCTGAAATGATCGTAGTGTTTTTTTAAAACTAAACCACTATTAGGAATCTTGTATGAATCTGAAATTAATGAAAATAAATTAGTTACCACATTTATTGTACAGACGGGCTGTCAATCATAGTTTTGCAATAAGTGCATCAAAGTTTAAAGATTATCTTGTAACCATATTCCCCAATAAAGTTGATCAGAATGATCATTCCGTTTTTGTTATATACAGTGGAAAAATGCGCTTGCGATAACAGCAAGTAAAATTTATGTATTTTGTTTTATTTAATTTCTGTTGTAAATAAGTTATTAAAAATACAAAATAATAAAAATGGTCTTTCATTTACATACATGTTTAATATTTATAGATCTTGCAGAGACTTTGTCAAGGGCAGTACGTTTGAAGTGCCTAAAAAGCGAGTGACATACCTTGTAGTTTTGAATACATCGGAAACTACATTTTCTTTCTAATATACATCAGGATTGGCGAATATTTAAATTGGTGACTACTGTTTTTAATTTCAATCCCTACCACTAAAGCTTCATCTAACGCGGAGCACGCCAGATTCCTGATGCACGCGAAATTGTCAGATAGCGCGATTCGTGTTGTTTTCCCCGTTCCCACATGTTGTTCCATTGGGGTTTTTACACACAAAAAAGAAGTATGTGTGTACTTATGTACGCACGTAAAAAGTTATACTTCTTTAGCGTAAAAACATTAAATGCAATTGATAACAGTTTTTTTAAATCTCGGTAATGTTGGTAAATATCAAAATTTTATTGGATACTAGGATTAAATAGGTTACCAAGCAACAAGTCGCTTTTTGAAGATCGGTTTGCGCGCGCATCGTTAAAAATTTCACTCTCATAGTTTTTTCAAACGCGCCAAAAGTATAAATTCAATAAACTTGACCACACCCGACGAAATGAGGACACAATCATTATGATAAAAGAATAGACACCTAAGAGACGAGAAATGTGTATAATTTACACTAGAGGTTCAGTATATAATCAGTTCAGTAGTATAATCGTTCATTGAAATGAAAACAAACTTTTTTTTTTTCAAAAAAATTACCATTCTATTTCCTAAAAAACAGAACATGTTGACAACGCGGTAGTCATTCATAAATACCTAAATGTTACTGTTCCCGCACACAAACGAACTTGTGCGCGTGTTAGTTTTGAACGATCGCGCGTAAAATAAATGAGTTGCGCATAAATCGCGCACTTTTTGAGATAATTTCAAATGAATATTAACTTACGAGTGATTTAAAATATTTATCATTTTTTATATAACATTATTTATGTCTACAATTTAATTTAAAAAAATGGATACACTTAGAAAAGCCTCCCTGTTTATACGACATAATATTTTGTGTAAAATGAATGATAATGAAAAGGATTGTGATTAAAGACAAATGTTACATGTACCATTTATTGAGTAAATTGACATTTATATTATTACAATATAGTTTATTCGAGGCAAGTAAAGCATTGAGATAGCTGCATATAAACAGTTTCTAATAAAAAATCACAGATTCTGAAAAATTATATCTTTATCAGATACTTAAAATATTTACGGACTATGACTATCATATATATACTAAGTAGGATCAGTTAAAATAAATTCGGGTTAGTTACGTAAAGTAAACTTAGCCTAGAATGACTAGAAAAATAATTTAACAACCTACTACAATAATAAAATCAATAATTAGTAACCAATATGAAAGGGATTCGTTAAATGAGTAAGAAATATATTCACAATTGTTTAAAAATAATATGAAGAAACTAGATTTGTAAAACAAAACTATTTATATAGACTATAATTAATAAACAAAAGTAGTATGAAAATGTGCGAATAACAATGTTTATGCCACCATAAGTTTGTTAAATAAAATCTCATATAAAAATGAATAATCACAAACCAAATAAATAGCTGCTGATTTAAGAAATACATTTCTATCATATTTAAGAAGTGTCTACAAGTAATATACTTACTGTTTAAGAACAACTATGTTTTTTTTACTACATTTTAATTGATATAGAATAATATGAGACAAACATTTATGTTTTTCATCATAATAATATGAAAAAGCCATAATTTCTATTTAGAGCCACCCAAGACATTACTTTCTTCCTCCCCTAAGAGACGTTTTCCAGTGTATTCCCATACCTAATATTATATCCATTTAATATTCAACTCCATGTATCCATTATTTCACTGCACATATTCAGGTAGAATTTTGGTGAAAGAATTTTGCTATATTGAGCACAATCATTTGAATACATTATTGCAGCTGCCATTGTTGTGGCATTAGATGCCATGTACTTATGCAAAACCTTCTCCAATTCCTGAATGGACAGATTGTTTTCTAGATAAAAATCCTTAGACAGACGGAAACAAACTTCCCATAAACCGGTGTCAACTGGAAAAATACTGATACATTTGTCAATAATGTTTGCTGCGTTGACTGACATATCCCGCTCTGATATTTCCTGGTTTGGTATCTGCTGAGATATTACATTCTTTGCCTTCAAATATTTCAACTCGTCACAGCAACATGGTAGAGACTGGTAGACACATGAGTCTATGATTGGATAGGGTTGCTCATTTAATATAGACAGGGAGATGTCCTTAATTCTTTTCGATATTGTGCTTGTAATTATTATTTTCAGTTCATCCTTCTTCCTTGAGTCACTCATTTCCCCGGTGTCTTCATGATGTGTGAAATATAGCTGGTCCTCGGGTAAGCCGTGTTTTAAAGTGCTTAGCAACATTTTCAGACAGTTGGAATACATTTTGTTATGGTATGCCAACTTGGCCGCCATATTGGGATTTCCGTTTAGGGTTTCCTCATTGATCCATGGCTGCAGTAGAAGAATGATATCGTCGGCCCACGATTTCTTCTTGAAATCTTTCATTGTTTCCAAAGGGTTCGCAACTGGCTCGATAGGCCTGCGTTGTAAATCATCAATGTCGAAGGGGAACATGATATCCACTCTATCCACCGGTTGAAACAGAAACTTGTTGTTGTTGCGACTCGCCGGTATTTTTATTACGCGTTTCGTCGTCTTCATCATTATAATGCGATTATTCGTTTTTTCCTTTTCGTTATTCATCTATTAACATATAAGAAATGGTTAGATTTCGATACTGTGTACAAGTTCAATTTATTCGATTATGTAATATTCAATTATGTATGTAAATGTCTAAGTATTAAAAAAAATCTGATATAGCCGCAATTACGATTTATGATTAATTTCTTGTTATATGACAATTATGTCACGGAAGGTTGTATTTTGTTTGGAAGGGGTTGGCTAGTAGTCAAAGTAAAAACGACTATTGCCACCTAGAAAGATATATTGTAATCATCCCTTTGAAAACGTTTCCTCTTACTGTAGAACATTATCCGGGTGTTGTAAGGACATTTTATATACATAAACTTACACATGGACCAACACCTAGAACCGAAACAGTTTTCTTTGGGTCACAAACAGTTGTCTCGTGTGGGAATCGAACCCACTACCGAAGGAATTGACGTGATTAATTTCTTGCTACATGATAATTATATCACTGGAGGTTGTATTTTGTGTGGAAGGGGTTAGGTAGTAAGTCAAAGTAGAAACGACCATTGCCAGCTGGAAAGATCTATTGTAGTCTTTCCTTCATCTACATACATAAATTAAAAGTGGACAAACACCCAGATCCGAAATAGTTATCTGTGGGTCACACAAATAGTTGTCTCGTGTGAGAATCGAACCCACGACCCGCGGCGACGAAGGCGACACCTCGGCAACTGCGCCATTGACGCCCGGTTCCTCATCATCATTATTTCAGCCCGTTTGAGTCCACTGCTGAACATAGGCCTCCCCCACAGACTGCCACGAAGTACGATCCTGAGCCACCTGCATCCATCGACTTCCCGCACATTTGCACAGGTCGTCACTCCATCTAGTCGGGGGTCGTCCTACACTACGATGGTCAATATGAGGCTGCCATTAGAGAACCTTTCTTCCCCATCGGTTATCGATTCTACGAGCTATATGGCCGGCCCATCGCCACTTCAGCTTACTAATCCTCTGAGCTATGTCGGTTTCCTTGGTTCTACTGCGGATTTCTTCGTTACGAACTCTATCGCGCAGAGAAATACCGAGCGTAGCCCACTCCATAGCTCGCTGAGCGACTTTGAGCTTCCTCATACGGCCAGCAGTGAAGGTTCCTATATTCAATGAACGGCCTTTAGTTACATAGCTTTGTAACATTCATAACGACTTGTAGAAAAAAAAAGCGTGTACGCCCGGTTCCTATATTAACAAAACGAGGCGTTTACCTTAGGAACCGCTGCATTACCTCCGGTAAGTGAGTTACTAGCGTTCCTTTCATCTACAAGTCGTTATGAAAGTTACGAAGCTATGTAACTACCGGCAGTTCGTTGAATACAGGAACCGGGCATAAGTCATCGTCACCGAAGGTTACCTGCATGCTCATGTTCCCCGTGGCGTATATCTTTCCGTCGTCGTCGATGTAAATGGTGAAATCGCCCCCGCAAGCGACCAGCGCCTTGCTGCAAGAACTCGTCTCCTCGCCATCTGTTGCCTTTGAGGTTGCCTTATGGTTCTCCGCTTGGGACTCGGGTCGTATCCTCACTTCCGTCGGTACCACGACCTGTTTCCGGTCGCCGCTTCCTGTTACGCAATATTAAAGTTGCATTTAAGCATTTTAGATTAACACATGCCGCATAAACGCATCTCGTTCACGGCTCGTTCATTCTACTCTAGATATATTTTATGGGCAGCTCCGTCCGGGTAAGTAACACGACCTCATAGTAGACCTGCGTGAATTGTTGTAATTCTGCGTTTCGTCTGGTTAGTGATGTAGCCGGAGCCCACTTTATAATAAGGTGGCAAAATTCTGCAATCCTACATTATTATTACATGGTATTACAATTTTGCAAAGTTGCAATAGGCGGCGATTATCACTTAACATGAGGTGAACAACCATGTCGTTTGTCACCTTCTCACATAAAAAATGCTGCATAAACGCATCTCGTTCGCGACTCTCCCATATTCTACTTGAGATAAATAGATATGTACAGTTTTATACGTCACTTTTATTCTTACAAAAACACATGACATGGGTAAGTAGGTTCAATAACAGATAATATACAGTGTATTAGAAATCTTGCATTACCTAGCTGGCCATCAAAGTTCAAGCCCCAAGTGTAAACAGCGCCCGTGTGGTCTAAAATGCATGAGTGATGCCAACCGGCTGCCAACTGTAAGTAAGATAAGTTTTATATTTCAATGAGCCAAGCAGTGCCAATTTCGAAAAGTGTAAAAACTAAATGGGCTAAAATAAATATTGAAATAAAATAAATAAGTGTCAGAATTCTGTAAACATACATCTACATTGATTAGCCAAATCATAGAAGTAAATAAATAAAAATAAAAAACAAACACAATTTTTTATATATATATAATATCGCTCGACACCAACTTACTTGCACGATGCGCCCGCGAACGTTGTGCGTGTCGACGAGCTGCGGCAGCAGGTGCGGGTCGGGTGCGGGCGCGAGCGGAGCGGACGCGGAAGCGGAAGCGGTGGCGGAGGCGGGAGCGGCTGACGCCGGTGAGTTCGCCCGCCGAGTTTGACTCGCGCGCACTTGCTGCGGACTTGCGCCCCAGCACCACACCTGGCCCTTTGCTGTTAACGCCAACTGTACCAAATATAAATAAGGTTTGACACGTACGCAGTTTGTACATGTGGAGAAACGACTTCTTGCACATCAATCGGTGAGGTCGTTCAGGCCAATTTCGACTCGTTTTAGTTACGCGCATCTATGGTCACTGTTTAGTAAATTGCCTAAGATATAAGTTAGTACACCATGTAATACAATATCATCTTAAGGTTTTACGTCCCTGTATAAGATGTATACATAAGATGACATCCGATGTTAAGTGATAACCGCATCCCATGGACATGTGCAAGCCAAGAAGCCCCTCCTGGCCCGCAAGTGGGAAACTTTGGACGTAGACGGGGGCGCGCTCACGCTGTGGAAGTAGCCGACGGCGATGGCGGCGGCGGGCTCGTGCAGCGGCACGCGCAGCGGCGCGGCCGCCTTGTCGCGCGCGCCGCCGCCCAGCTGGCCGAACACGCCGGCGCCGCTCGCCCACACCTCGCCGTTCTTCATCAGCGCCGCCGTGTGGCACGCGCCGCACCCCACGCTCAGCACCTGCGGACCACGCGATGATTATGCTCACTCATAGTGGTAGCGTAGAGTGTCTGTCAGTTTGGCAGATACCTTCAACCCCACGCTTGGTTGGGCAACTAGTGGAAATGGCAGTGTCGTTCCTTGTGGCGTTCTTAGATGTATCTATGTTTTATGGGAGAAGGAGGCAAACGAGCATGCGGGTATGTGATGAGTGATCACCGCCGCCCGTGGATACTTGCAACATCCGTCAACATCATCTTCAGCCGAAATCATCAACATCGTCTATGTTCATCAGTGGACGTCTTACGGTGATGATGATGATGATGATGGAAGCGTAGGCTCCCCGGTGAACTGCACCACGGAGCCCACGGCGCGGTCGTCACTGCTTTATTTAAATGAAAATAGCGTTTACCTTTCTCCCTAGGAATTTTGTCACCAGTTGCGGTGTGCAGTGGTCGTCGATTGTGCCCAGGCACAGCTGGCCGTGAACGCCCCACCTAAATAGAACAACGATAGGTGAGTGGTAAGGGTAAGAACTTGTCGAACAAGCTTTTATGAGATATGAATTTATTCATTGTAACTGTATTTTCCCCGTTCATTATATTCCATGCTGTGAGCTCCTCATATTCAAATATCTTTATTATATCTTTAATCTACAAGTCGTTACTTAAGTTACGAAGCTATGTAACTAACGGCCGTTCGTTGAATATAGGCACCGGGAATTAGACAAGTAGTCGGCACCCACCCCCAGGTGTACAGTCGACCGCCAACGTCGACCGCCGCCGAGTGGTAGTGGCCGGCCGCGATGGCCACCAGCGGCGCGGTCCACTCGTATCGGACGCGCATCAGGGCGCCGGACGAGCTGGCCGAGTCGCCCACAGCGCCCGCCCAGCCGCCGCCCACGCCCAGCTGCCCGAACGAGTTGTCGCCGGCCGCGTAGATCTGACACGTGTTCCCATAGTAATAGAGCTCAAGGTCGCGTGGCAATACCGATGAAATTGCACAACGATTAACCGGCCCAGCTGCCCGAACGAGTTCTCGACAGCCACGTATATCTGACACGAGTTCCCATAGTAATAAGGCTCAAGATCGCGTGGCAATAGCGATGTGGCAACAATACGATTAGACAGCTCAGCTTCCCGAATGAGTTGTCGCCGGTCGCGTAGATCTGAGAAGTTTTCCAATGGGGATAAAGTTGAAGATCGCGTGGCAACACCGATGCAAAGATCCGTGAAAAGAGCACCGTGCGGAGTCCGTAGCGCAGACTTCGATGAAACTAAACCATATAACTATAATTAGCCGGTCCAGTTGCCTTAACGAGTTATCGTTCGACGCGTAGATCTGACACGTGTTCGAATAAGCATAGAGCTGAAGATCGCGATGTGTATATTGGACTGTATGCTGTATGTAAATTTCGGTAGTGATAAACCGTACTCATGTACCGTCACATTTCAAAAATCGGAATTTTATTCCCGATCTTAACATTTCAAGAATAGAAATATATATATATCTAATATATAAAATTCTCACATATCACGGGGTCCGTTCGTTCACATATAACTTGAACTCCTCCGAAACGGCTCGACCGATTTTTGTGATCCTTAGCGTGATTGTCGGCCAGGGTGGAGAATCGGCCAACATCTATTTTTCATCCCCCTAAATGTTAAGGGTAGTCCACCCCTAAATTTTATTTTTTTATTTTTTAGGCAATTTTTTTTTTTTATTTTTTTATGACACAGCATACAAAAATACATACAACCCTAAATTTTCACCCCTCTACGCAGACGTAGTCGCGGGCAGCAGCTAGTATATATATATTCATGTATCACTTACGCCGTTCTCGGTGAGCACTAAAGTGTGATGCCTGCCACAGGCCACGTCCAGCACCCGTCCGACGATTTCCGTGTTAACCGGCACGTTGGCCATCATGACCCTGGCGTTTCCGTCGTCCGCGATCGCCCAATGCGCGAGGCCGCAGGAGAGCGCCCTCCTCGCCGTGTACTGGCTCTTCCAGGTCTCCGGCTTCCTTGTCGCCTCCACTTGTATGTCGGGGCGGGGCGTCCTCGCTTCGACGGCGCACAGCACGTGCATGTAGGTCGTGATCAGCTGAAGCATGCGCGTCGTCTGTACGGATAATATGACAATATAAATTTAAAATGGCGCGGAGAGACTTAAATTATAGCTAAGAAACATCACTGTCACGTCAGCTTTCAAACAAAACAAAACCGCACATTATATAATCGGTGCATCCGTTTAGAAGTTACGATGACACAGATAGAAACACAGAGACAGACAGTCCGGGCACACTTAAAAAAAACCCTCTTTTTACGTCGTGGGTTAAAAATCAAACATTTTACTACAAAAAAAATCTCACCATAGTCATTCGTTTAGAACCTACAATGCCACAGATGCATAGGGGTGTTTTTCACAAAAAATGACCCTAGCAAAATCGGACTGTCCCACAACTTTGACCATTTCTATTTTTACTTTCTTATATAGGACATGTAAAAGTGAAATTTCATATGACCTAGGTAAATGTTTTAAAATAGAATTAAATTATAAAGGGTCATAAAACGCGGATATTTATTTTTATATTAAAAAAAAAGCAAAATAGGAGGTGAAGATTTCGTGTGTCCCACAGTACTCTCGGAGACTTCAAATACATCTCATTTGTAGAATATTGGTCTTTGAGTATGTTTAAGTGTTTGAACATAGTCTCTGTATGTCTTAAAGTGTCTTTTCAAGTTTATATGTGATAAATTTTAAGGTTATTTTAAAAATATAACTATTTTAATGCTGTCCTACGAAAACCTTAGTACCGGAAAATCCCGTTTCGTCACGGTGAATTTGGTATTTTACATAAGACTAAATCTACGAATTTGTGTATTTTCTTCCTTCCTGGTAACATTGTGATCGTTTTTGATACCGCCATTGTTGTTTTTGACGTCAGTTGGAACAAAAACTGAGACGAAAGTGTTGGTGTCTTCGGCGTCCAGAAAAAGTTTTCTGGCTAGTGACAGTATTTAAAAGGTAAATAAACTCGTATTCTTTACTTTATCATATTGTTTATAAAACATAAACTAACCTTTATTAGATTAATAAAGCTAAAAACAAGTTGATTTAACAAAATATTAGTTATTTTTAATTTTAAAAGTTTCGTGGGATTTAAACGTCACCTCCTGTGCGTCATGTGACATACTATCGGAACAAAATCGTGACGAACTTGAATTGTAAAGCTTAGTATACAGTGAAATATTTTAAAATTTTAATTTAATTATTAATTAAAATTTTTAGTTTTATTTTAAATTAGTTCACACGTAGTAGATACTTACATGCTATCTTATTTTCTTAATAGGTATGGTAAATTCCGTAACTACTCATTGGATTAAAAAAAAAATAATATTAAAAAAGAAAGCTACATTATTCCCGATTGCTATAGATACATTACTATTTACTCACTTTTACTGCGGCAATTGATGTTTGTACGTATTATTTAAAAATATATAGCCATAGAACATATATATGAATGAGGTAGCCGGGGCCCTCTTTTTAATGTAGGCAATGCATCTCTGACCTGTTAGGTTTTTTAGATGTCCATAGGCGGCGGTTATCACTTAACATCAGGTGAACCGCCAGCTCGTTTGCCAGCTTTGAACATAAAAGATACTTTTTTTTCAGGTCAAATTTCGCATTTAGCATACCTACTCCTATGGATGATCACTCTGCTAGCAGCTATGGTAGTCTATTGGGACGTTGACAAAATCCTAACATATTTTGATTTAAATCAATGTTACATTAGTAATGCTAAGTGGCCCTGGCCTGTTACACATTTCATAATTACTACGGAGTGTTTCGGATGTCGGGGCGAAAAAACAACAACAGTATGAAACCTCAGCACTTTACTTTGGCGATGAGTCAAAGTGATATCAGAAAATTACTCCAGTGCTCCATTTTTTGGTGTTCTTTTTGTATGCATTCTATTTATGATCATGTTCCCGAGGATGAGTGTGAGGTTTGTGTGATAGGAAATAATTAATGATTAATGTAGAAAGTAATTATTCCGTTCGTTTCAACAAAGGAGAGAATGGCGCTTACGGCAGCAGAAAGGGCGAAGAGATATCGTGAAAAATTAAAACAAAATCCTGAAAAATTTGAAGTTCAGCGCCAAAAACAATTGGCAAGACTAAAAAGAATCGGAGAAAGATAGCGGATCTAACAGAAGAGGAAAAATTAAAACAACGTAAATTATGGAGAGATGAAAAGAAAAAACTAAAACTAAACAAATGTAATAAAGAAAACTTTAGATAAAATACAGAAATTACATAGGATGTTTAGAAACTAGTCGCAAACGATATTACCGCGAAAAACTTCTGCATGAAAGAAAGAATCGCGAAATAGAGAAGCTTCAAGCACGTCAAGAAGTATTAGAATATTCTTTAAAAACAGTTTATAAACACACAAATACCCAAAAAGAAAAACGATTGTTAAAAAATATAGCAACCAATCAGAATGTAAAAGCTAGTAAGTCAGTCATGGACATAACAAAATATTTAGGATTAAAAAGTCGGATACGGTATACAAAAAAGAAACTACCAAACTGTAATATTCCAAAACATATCGAGACATTTTATAACAGGGATGACATAAGTAGATGTACAGCAGGAAAACATGAAACAAGAACAAGAGGAAAACAAAAGATGCAGATTAGGTACCTGACTGACACATTTGCAAACTTGTACAATATTTACAAAAAGAAGGAGGAAAGTACAGTTTTACTACCTTTTTTAGATACAAGCCGTTTTATATTTTATCACCCACGGTTAGAAATAGAAACACATGCTTATGTATAAAACATAGTAACGTAGAAAATATTTTTATTGCGCTTAAAAAAAATAATGTTTTAAGTTATACAAATCTAGAAGACGTTATTACTCAAACAACCTGTGATAGAAAGTCGTACACCTGTATGTATAGTAAATGTGATGATTGCAAAACTCTTGTGCTTCAGTATAAGCGAGAAAAACTGGATGATGATATTACCTGGTTCAAGTGGGAAAGGATAAGTCATAGCTATACAAAATCGGGCAAAACTTTTGTTACCAAAAAAAACTCAAAGCAACTTAAAAAAGGAATTGTGAAGACCCTACTTTCTGAGTTTCAAAAAGAACTTCCATCCTTTAAATCCCATATTTATAATTGGAAGCACCAACAAAGTCAATACCTAAAATGCATTAATGGGTTACACGATAACGAAATAGCCATCTTATGCGACTTCAGTGAGAACTATGAGTGCAAGCTTGGTACAGAAATACAGGCTATGCATTTTGGAGCTTCGAAAAATAATATAACTTTACATTGTGGTATGATATACTGGAAAAGTAAATCACAATCATTCGTCACCATATTTAGCAATAAATGCCACGAACCCAATGCTATCGGGGCACATTTACTACCAATCTTAAAATTCGCAACGCAGTTGGATCGAAACATACGAATAATTCATTTTTTTTCTGATGGTCCATGTAGCCAATATAGGCAAAAAAAAAACTTTTATTTAATCAATCTTTTTGCAAATAAAATGAACGCTGATTACTACACTTGGTCATTTTCAGAGAGTGGTCATGGTAAGGGTGTAGCTGATGGCATTGGTGGAGCAGTTAAACATCAATTGGACAAACACGTGGCTTATGGTTACGATGTAAAAGATGCTGAACAAGCTCACCAACACCTTGAAAAGAGCATGAAGTCCGTAAAATGTTTTTTTTATAGCGGATAATGACATTATCAATATGAAACATCTTATATCAGATAAAATTCGGCCTGTACCTGAAACTATGAAATTACATCAAATAATGTCAGGAGGACAAAATACAATATTTTACAGGCAACTGAGTTGCTTTTGCGGGGACCGACGCGGTCTTTGTAACTGCCATTGTCCCAAAATACATATTTTGCTTGACCAAGACCAAAACTCATTCGAAGACTTCGAAGTTCTTGAGAATACCAATCATGCATCTAACTTTAAAACACATGATCAGACACTCAGTATTGAAACAGACCAAAGACTGAAAGTTGGTGAAATGACCTCCATTCAAGATAGTTTTGACCCAGAGGAAGATCTGATTCAAATTATGAATGATGGTATGAGTTTAGTTCATAGTCAAACAAAAAAGAATGATTGCCTTGAACCCATTGAAACTGATAATAGTTCCCAGATCAGTGAAATTATTTCTATTGACCCAAGTGTTCTGATTGATCTTACCAATGAAATTGACCTAGAAACTTTAAATGTATCTACTTTTATACCACAAAATAGTGTTTTCCACTGTAGTCCTGAATACAATATTGAAGATCCTAGTACTTCTACAGGCTTTAAACAAAACGTTTATTCGAACAATTTAAATGTACCTAGAAAACAGGAAAAGGTAATGAATGAAGAAATAGAGAATAATGAAGAAAAAATAGAGAGCGATGGTTATGAAACCATTAGCGACACCTGGAAATCTAGATCACTAAAAACTATAGTTTCAAGGTACTTTTTATGTCATTTATGTAAACGTCGTAAATTTTTTGTGCCTAACGATATGACTTGTTGCGTTGCATACAAAATTGGGTATGCAGCTTGTGCTGTGGCCACCCTTCAATTATTGACTATATTTGTGACATATGTTACGGATCTGAATAATACAATTATTCAAATGCGTACGTAGATTACACGTGCGTGTTTAGCCGAAGCTTAAGTTTTAAAATTATGATTGAATTCAAGTAGTATTATAATGACTTACATAAGTATACAATAATATTAAAATTATCTTCATCGATAAGAGTATTAAAAAGTTCCTATGATTCAAAGTAATTGTGATAATTATCTCGTAAGTAAAAATTTAATATAATCACCAACAACTAAGTTTGTTCTCGTAATATAATTTATATGTGATCTCAAATTGCATTTCATATCTTTTAATATTTTTATGTCTAAACAAAAGGTGTAATGTACGTATTAATTAAAGTAATTGTGATAATTATCTCGTAAGTAAAAATTTAAGATAATCACCAAGGACTAAGTTCGCTCTCGTAATATAAGTTATGTGATCTCAAATTGATGATTCTATATCTTTAAATATTTTTATGTCTAAAAAAAGGTTTTATTGCATCTATTGATTAAAGTAATTGTGATAATTATCTCGTAAGTAAAAATTTAAAATAATCACCTTAATAATATAAGTTATATGTCATCTCAAATTGATAATTCTATGTCTTTTAATACTTTTATGTGTAATAAAAAAGTTTAATGCAGTTAAAACTTTTATTAACAATTTTAAGTTAATAAAGCGTTAACTTCTTTGTGATTGTGTTTTTTAAACGCGGTGGTGTGGACACTGCTCAAATTATTCCTATTCGTAACGCACTTGTCGTAATAGTCACTGTCCCATATTCTGAATAGTACAAAAATGGTTTTTTAAATATCTATTTTTCATTTTTTATAGTGTTTATTTAGTAATTATCAGTATTTTATTATAGCCAAAAATTCCTCAATTTGCTCAATTTTTAAATTTGTTACACGTATCATTAGTAAAGACAACATTTCAAGTGCCATTTGTCAAAGAAGTGACGAACATGAAACTATTTCCCTGATTGTTTATTAATGTGATAGAAATATGCTACCTTATTGATGTTTATGGAAAGATTTTAAGCATATCTATAAGGTAATAATCGTTGATTTTCTTTCGATACCTGGTCGTTTTATATCTGATTCATTACATTTTGTGACGCACAGGAATACTTTGCATCATATACTGAGAGAAAAACTTGAATATTTCTTATATTTATGGTTTTATATTAATTTAAATAGCATATTTAGCTAGTTAATAATGAATTATTTCATACCAGGGACAATATGAACAATTTCATGTAAAGCCAAAATTATTTTTCCTGATCGTCACAGGGTCAATTTTTCTGAAAAACACCCATAGACACTTCGAACTTATAACACCCCTCTATTTACGTCGATTGCAAAAATGAAACATTTTACTACAGCGGTTATGATCTTTAAAAGTTTTACCCTAGCCTTAGCCTTAGCTCAGGTAGAGAAAATTAGTAAATAAATTAAAAAAATTATACACATTTCTCTACATAACATTATCTAGTCGCAGACTTAGCTTAGCTTTGAGGACAAGGCAACTGATAAGCTTACTTTAACATACATTTATATTATAGATATATAAATTTCGGTGCAGCCTTTTATTATTGTAATTAAATGAAGGCTACGGCGTAGGGGGGTCGTGGGTTCGATCCCCGCACGGAACAAGTATTTGTGTTACCTACAATAATATGTATGTGATAATTGTTATGAATCGGGTGTTATACCCAATGAGGGTTGACAGAGTTACAGGGTTATTAGAGGGGCGGCCGGTAGTAAAAAAATGGTTGACACCATTAATACATGATTCATAATTATACTGTGGCGACTCCAACTACGTTGAATATGGATAGGAGGAAGAAGACATGAAATATGCTTTATTAAAAGCAGAGGTGTATATATTACGAGGCATTGGACTTATTTTTTTTTTTCGAGCTGGCGATTGCTGGAGATGGAGATGACATTTGCAACATCTTATAATAAAGTGGGAACCAGCTACTTCACTCATCAGATTAAAGGCAGATGTTTAACACCTGTATGAAGTAGAAGTAGAAGCCGGTCTTCTGTTAGGTCGTGATACTTACCTGACGGACTTGCCCATTCGTACAACAGCGAACACGTGGCCCTACCACAGTTGTGCTAGACTGTCTCTAAACGCGTAATTCATTTATACTTCCCATACTATTTCACTTTATCGTCATGTTATGTGAACTCGATGGTGTCTGAAAAAAAAATGAAAACGCAAATTGTTCTTACGTAAATAGATGTTATTCCTTGTTTCAAATCGCGCATTACGGGTCGCAGTTGATCTTGGAGGGGGCTCATCCAGAGACATAAGCACTGCAACAAAGAATGATCTTGCAATAATTTATCTGGTATTTTGTGCTTTTCCACAATTTAATCGCACATTATTATACCTATACATTACAAAGTTTTAAATACACATATTTTAAATTTGGCTTCGGAACTAAATTAAAAGTTAGTTTTAATATTTGAGTGACAATAATAAAACTTTATAAATTTAGATGTGTTTAATAGATAAATTGGGTAATATTCTATTCGCCAATTATTTTATATACTCCCATTTAATGCTAAAACTGAAAAAACAGTGCCAATAACAACTCATTACCGATTATGACAGCTGTCATAGTGATAAACGTCGTATCACGCGATCTGCACTGAACTGCGTCAGACGCTGTATGCCATCGCTGAAAGTATATTCTCCAGCAAATTAAGGGAGCTCACATAAAAAGTATGTGCATAAACCACCTTCAAAAGCTTGGTGTCGAACTTGTTGCACTTCTCCGTGATGAAGTCGAAGAGCCACTGGCCGTTCTCCTCCAGGAGTATGGGCACGAGGCAGCTGTGCCGGAGAAGGCACACCATCGCGCCCCGGCACAGGTCGCCCCTCGACCTGATCGCGGCCAGCATCAGGTGCGGGTGGCCGTGCTGGATGCTGAACAGCGGCACCAGCTCCCATAGTCCGATGGCGGCGGCAGTCGACGTCAGCTCGAGCAGTTCCACCGCGGTCAGCGGTGTGATCTGCATGTCTCTGGGGAGAGAGAGAGAGAGAGTAAATAAGTGAGAGGGAGAAAGTAAATTAATAAGTTAATTATCATTCTGTAAATCTTCTAACTAACAGGCATTCTGTAAATCTCCTGCCTCTTTTAACAACCCGATTGGCGTAGTGGGTAGTGACGCCTCCTCTTGCGCCAAAGGGTTTGATCCCCGCTACTGGGAAAATATTTATGATATGTATTTATTTATAAAAGAAAAGTATGTTTATCAGTTATCTAGAGCCTGTAGTAAAAGCGTTGCTTATTTTGGGACTAGAAAACGTTGTGGAAAAATATTTCCTGAAATATTTATTTTCCTTTGTCCAGTACTTTGGTTGATACCGACATCACCAATCTACAGATGAACAATTACACGAAAGATAAAGATGGATAGAAAAATTGGTGGGTTGTTTACTAAAATTGCTTACAAGTCAAATTTCTCCTCGCTGTTAGTGCCGGCTTTTAGAAGCATAGCTAGCAATTTTGCGGTTATTGCTGCGTATCCAAAGTTGCCCAAGTTACCCGTGTGTTTGAACATAGACAATTCGTGCATGCGCCCAAACACTCCTAATCGGGCAACCCAGCCGTCTGGCTGGCTCTGAAAAGAGAAATACTATGAACCAGACGGAACATTCACGTTTGTCACTAACAATCCAGTGTAGCCATACTTGTATAATATTTTTGCTCATCACTCCAAATTCGATTTGGATCGCAAATTTACACGTATTAATAAAAAATAATTTACATTTTATTATCACGTAACCCTTTACTTAAGTTGTTCGGGGCGAAGTTACCTTACCACTAGGTGAACTATCAAATTGCCAATCTTCGATGATAAGGAAAAAACGCATCGATTGTACTGCCAAAATATTTTTTTTTATGTGAGAAGGTAGATGAGCGGGCGTTTCACCTAATGTTAAGTGAATACCGCAGACTTGCCAACCTTAAAATAGTAGGCCCCTGTTATCATCTCACCAGTCTAAACGCAGCATAATACCACCGGTCTCTTATGAAGGCGTGGTAATTCCCCGGACTAGCCTGCCCATTCGTGCAACAACCGAAACTGTTGCGTGGTCTCACCACAGTTATACTAAAGTTTACAGTCGTACCTGCGACAGAGAGAACAGGTACTGCGCGGGAGCTATCTTCCCGCGGGACATTAGCATGTCGGCGGCCGCTCTGAGCAGGGTGGGCACAGAGGCGCCCAGTGCGGCGGCAGACTGTTCCGCACCCACGCCACCGCGCATTATCAAGCTCACCAGCCACTCGCAGGGCTCGACGCTGGTGAAAGCAAATCAATCGTTAGTCCGTCATTCACTCATTCATTCACCCCTTAATGGACTGAAAGAATATAGAGCCTATGCTTGGTATTTGTACAGACGATTGTCTACGCATCATCAAGCTCACCAGCTACTCGCAGGGCTCGACGCTGGTGAAAGCAAATCAATCGTTAGCCCGTCATTCACTACTAAATGGACTGAAAGAATACAGAGTCTTTGCTTGGTATTGGTACAGACGATTGTCTACGCATTATCAAGCTCACCAGCCAATCGCAGGGCTCGACGCTGGTGAAAGCAAATCAATCGTTAGTCCGTCATTCACTCATTCATTCACCCCTTAATGGACTGAAAGAATACAGAGCCTTTGCTTGGTATTGGTACAGACGATTGTCTACGCATTATCAAGCTCACCAGCCAATCGCAGGGCTCGACGCTGGTGAAAGCAAATCAATCGTTAGTCCGTCATTCACTCATTCATTCACCCCTTAATGGACTGAAAGAATACAGAGCCTTTGCTTGGTATTGGTACAGACGATTGTCTACGCATTATCAAGCTCACCAGCCAATCGCAGGGCTCGACGCTGGTGAAAGCAAATCAATCGTTAGTCCGTCATTCACTCATTCATTCACCCCTTAATGGACTGAAAGAATACAGAGCCTTTGCTTGGTATTGGTACAGACGATTGTCTACGCATTATCAAGCTCACCAGCCACTCGCAGGGCTCGACGCTGGTGAAAGCAAATCAATCGTTAGTCCGTCATTCACTCATTCATTCACCCCTTAATGGACTGAAAGAATACAGAGCTTTTGCTTGGTATTGGTACAGACCATTATCTGCGCATTATCAAGCTCACCATCCACTCGCAAGGCTCGACGCTGGTGACAGCAAATCAATCGTTAGTCCGTCATTCACTCGTTTATTCATCCTTTAATGGACTGAAAGAATACAGAGCTTTCGCTTGGTATTGGTATTGACCATTATCTCCGCATTATTAAGCTCACCACTCACTCGCCGGGCTCGACGCTGGTGACAGCAAATCAATCGTTAGTCCGTCATTCATTCGTTCATTCCCCCATTAATGGACTGAAAGAATACCGACCTTCCGCTTGCTAACCAATCACGCGCAGGGCTCAACGCTGGTGACCGCAAATCAACTGTTAGTTCGTCATACACTCATTCGTTCATCCCTTGAAGGACTGAAAGCCACTCGCAGGGCTCGACGCTGGTGATAGTAAATCATGCCTTAAAGGCATTTTGCTTGATAGGTTTCTAAGGTTATATAGTCGGTCGTATTTTTTTTATGTGAAAAGTTGCCAAACGAGCAGACGGTTCACCTGATGTTGAATACCGCCGCCCATGGACATCTGCTACACCCTTGGGTTCCAGATGCGTTGACAACCTTTTGAAAATTGGGCTCTGGCCACCTCACTCACCAGACGAAACACGAAAATTATACTTCCACTTTACGCCGGTCTTCTGTGAGGTCGCGGTACTTACCCGGACGAGCCTACCCATTCGTGCAACAGCCGAAGCTGCTGCGTGGCCCTACCGCCGTATACGAATGCAGCCCTGTTCGTAACGTTTTCGCTGTATGTATTACAGGACATTCTTGTCGAAAGTGATCTCAAGGTATTTGACCTTCTTCTCACAAGGGATCGGTTAGCCGTACAATGTGATAAGCCCTAATTTTCTGTTCTAGCAAGGCCGAGCCAGTGGAAGTTTGGGTTTGGCTGTGTTGTTATTACAAATGCTGTCAGCCATATTTTCATTACAACTTTATACATGCTGACCGAACGGGCTTGTAAATATTTGTTATACTGATCAAATATGTCCCTTAAAAACATACTACCTATAGCGCTTTAGTGCATTATTGACTCATCGTTAGGTTAATATTCAAACAAAATAAACAATTAAGCACATTTTAACAGTATACTTGAATGTTAACGGAAGGTTCAACTTAGTGTAAGACTTAAATATGTAAAAACTTACACAGTATTCAAAACGTAGGCCCCACAGCTGGTGACAACGAGGCATGGCTCTATGGTGAATCTTGGGAGCTGTAAGTCGCACATGAATGTCGGTTCACGCCAGCCAGCTGGGGTCGACGGAGGTTCCTTAGCTGACATTAAGTAAGCACGATGTACGTCGCCAATAAGCTCAGCCGACCACAGTTCAGAGAACTCTCTTTTTGGTCCCAGCAAACCATCACCCTATAATTAAAAGAAGGCTAGATATGAGCTAAGACCGCCAATAACTAACTATAATTTACTGGGCAAACCGCTTCCGTTTACTCGATCATAATTTTGGTAACATGTGGTTGGTAACATTTCGGTAACGCATGACCTCCAACAAGTCCTGCAAACTGTTTTCACATAACATCTATTGAAACTTAAGATAATATTTATTAAAGTTTGTTAGTAACCAATTTTAAAATAAGAGAATATTTGTTTGGAGTCAAGCTTTAATCAAATTTTTTGAATTTTCTTTTTTCTTCTCAGATGGCTCAATGTCTGGGCGCTCGTTGTCTTTTAATTCAATATACTCGAGCAACATGAGTTCGATCTCCAGTGCCGGCACCAATGAAATTGTTAATCTTAAGTGCTGACTTGTCATTGGTAAGCGGTGAGGGAAAACATCATGAGAAAACCTGCATATATTCGAAATAATAACACAAAAAATAATTAAAAAATGTGTGAAGTCTGCCAATGCACAGTGGGGCCGCGTTTTGGAGTATGCCCTGATAACCTCTGTACAGAGGAGGCCATTGCCCAGCAGTGGACATATATAGGCTGTTACTTTACTTTTCTATTTCCTTGGTTAAAATCAATATCGTAAATTTATTTCAGTAGTATAATGTATGAGTGGCCAAAAGGATGGTTAAACTCTTTGAATTGATCATTAAGAAAATCATTCTGATCAATCCAACGAGTTTTACCAAACCAGGCGTTAGTTTTATTATTTACCTGAACTACAGAAAAATTGGCGCTGTGAACTTCAAGTTCATTCCTTCTCAATAAATAGATAAGTCGCTGTGACCATAAACCTTGAATGTATAAGCCATCTTTTTTTATATGTGGCCTCAAAGTTCTGGATGGTGAAGCGTCTTCTGGACTTTCAAGCTGAAAAAGCAAGTGTTTATGAATTAATTAGCAATATCCAATTTCTTACTGCTAAATATCTAAACCAAGTGCGAGTCGGACTGGCGCACGGTTCCGTACCATTATCTATAAAAACGGCAAAAAAAATCATGTCTGTTGTATGGGAGCCCCACTTAAATACTTTTTTATCCTGTTTTTTTAGGATCTTTTGTTATAGCTGTAACAGAAATAGATCTGTGAAAATTTTGAGACGAACAGACAGACAGACAGCGGAGTCTTAGTAATAGGGTCCCGTTTGGGTATGGAATCCTAAAAAAAAGAAGATGCCGAATGATCATGCCAGTTTATCAAATAAATAGAAGCATTCACGACTTTCAATCTAAATGAGGTAAACAGATAACTCATGTTCTTCACATAATATTAACATATTCACATAACATTATAATACTTCATGGGGATATTCTGTGACTTACCCTAGTATTATTACCCGGACAGACCTGCTCATTCGTGCAACAGCCAAAGCTGTTGTATGGCCCTACACCAGTGAAACTGTTTCTTATAAATAAATGAAAAGGAAATCTTTGAAATTGGACTTACAATCAATGTGCCTTCATTTAGTTCAAAAGCAGTCAAAAAATGACGTCCATTGACATATTGTGCTGTTAAAGCCCAGTTATTAGAGCCCTTTCGAAACATTGGAAGATATTCAACAGGTTTAAGCACATATTCCACAGTTTGCGATTTGTCATCTGTTTAAGAAAATAGAATGTACACAGAAAATCCAATTTATTTAAGTATGAAAGGCGTAAAGGTATATTTAAGTATGAAAGGCGTAAATAACTTACCTTTGGAGGTTCCTTGTGTGAAAAATGTAATTTTATCTTTGGACAGTTGTCTTATGTAAGACATGAAACCATCCTTTTTTTCTCTGTCATTCTGGGCCCGTATTTGTTGAAGCCAGTTGTAACCCAGTGATCTGTGCTCTAAGATTAACTTCCATTGCTGAGATTGTCCTCGTGAGATCTTATAAAGAACAAAAGTTTATATGATAATAATACTGCCTACAACATAAAACATTAATACTTTGTTGTGAAAATTTATGTGAAAAACTTACCAAAAGAGCTAATAAATCGAGAGAATCATCAAAACATATTTGTAAATCAAGAATTTCCCCTGTAACCCTTGTTTCTCCAACAATAGTTTGAGACTCCAAGGAATAGAATGTAATGACTCCTGTCTGTATCAATAAGAAAATATTTCTTTTATATTATATTACATATATAATTTCAACAATCGTTTTTTTATGTGAAAAGTTTGTAAGCCAGCAGGTGGTTTATCTGATGTTAAGTGATTTTCACTACCCATGAATATTTTCAACACCTGAATGGTTAGAGATGATTGCATCTAGAGATGATGGCATTGGCTAACCATTAAAAAGTGAGCCACGCTCATCAGACAAAAAGCAAAGGCGTAAAGTAAGGCTTTCATTTCACACCAGTCTTCTCTAAAAATAAAATAAATTAATAATATCTTCATAGAAAAGGTTTAATGATGCTACAATCAAGAAGTACATACTTCAGATGTATGGAATATGACACACGAAAAATGTGCTGCCTATTAGTGTAAAATGCAAAACTATCCAGTTAAAAAAACAATTATTCAAATTTTATTTTATGTATGTTATAGTGAAAAGATATTCTAATAAATTGAATGATAATTCATCGACCAATTGATTTTCATTACATTACAAAATATATTATACAAAATCAAGCACACAAAAACAGTAACTTTGTAAACCTGACAAATTATCTTTTTTACCAAAAAAAACAATGGCACTTGAATTTTAGATATTATGGTCAATAACAGGATTATAACAGCTGATGAAGTAAGATTGAGCAACATTAAAAAAGTTGGTATTAGGTACCCTAATTATGCAATTTGGAAAGAAATAGTTTAAAAATTACTAAACAGAATTCTTTCTGAATTATACCCAATATAAGCATACAGTGTTGTATTTGTCATTATATCACAAAAAGTGAAAATAAATATAAAATATGTACCTTACATCCAATAATTATTATATTTTCTGATTCCTTTGTCAACCACCACACAACAGAAGTTGCTTGTGGTATTTCTCCTAGTGGTAAAACAGTAACTCTTGAAGACGACCACTTGCAATCAAATAGATTTTCCGGAGTAAATAAGGGAAGGAAAGGTACGAGCAGTACTTTTTGTTCGCTTACAATAAGTACCCAGGTACCGCTGGGTTCAAAGCACATGCAATATACAGGATTATCAATAAAATCCCAATCGTAAACATTGTCAAATCTTTCTAACTGTGGGTTAATATATAAAAAAACAAGTTCTTTATCACTAGAAAAAGCAAAAAATTTCTTGAGACCGACTTCGTAAAAGCTATGATTTACAATATCTAGATGAATTAAAACATCTAACTTAAATAAGCCAGAAAAATCTAGATTTTCGCTTTGTTGGGCCATTATGCGCTTAATACAGCATTATATAAATAATTAAATATAAACCCAATAATGTAACAAATCGTATTTGCAATTTTTATTTGTTAAGTTTGAAGGAAAGTATCAGATTCATTTCCGTAGTATTACTCTACTATAATATAGTCTATGATCAGAATGAAATTGAATATATAGACGTCGTTTGTACAGTGTTACCAACTCATGAAAATATTTGTCCTATCCCTAAAACTTAGGAGGGTATTAATATTATTGTTAGAGCTTAATAATATTATTGTTAAAAAAATATATAAATAATAAATAGCGCAAAGATTTTTGCCTTAATGGAAATTATACAGTGAATGGAATAAGACTGTGAAGGATATTGTAGCGAAAATTTTGGTGTTATAAAAAGTGTTTAAAGAAAAATTGTAGGAAATTTAATTTAATAAAAATTTTCTTATGATTTCTACGACCAATATTTTACCGTCATTTCAAAAATGTGATACATAATGAATGATAAACGTAAATATCCGCAGTAGAACAATCGTAACCGACATAGTTCAGAAGGCTAGTAAGCTAAAGTGGCGATGGGCCGGCCATATAGCTTGTAGAACCGATAACCGTTGGGGAAGAAAGATTCTCGAAGGGCAGCTCCGTACTGGCCATCGCAGTGGGACGACCCCTCACTACACGACCTGTGGGAAGTCGATGGAAGCAGGTGGCTCTGAATCGTGCTTCGTGGTAGTGATATAATACTGGCCATTCGCCATAAATGTAAACATTGTTTTTAAAATTATTCTTTTGGATGTTCCTTATTACTGACACAATCGTTCTTACGTATGTATATATTTTCTGCTTAATAAAACCTAATAACTAGGTTTTGTATTATTCATCAATTTATTAAGCAGAAAGAATCAACAATTCTATAAAATAATTCTCAAGAAGTATGGAGAGATTTTTAAGACCAGAGAAATTTGAAACCGATTCTTCATCTGCTACCGCGGCACAAGAATGGAGACATTGGTATATAACTTTTGAAAATTTTTTGCCTATAAATGATGTTAAAGATGAAAAAGCAAGATTTCAACTTCTGATTAATCATCTATCATCAAAAGTTTATGAATATATATGTCATTGTGTTAGCTACAAAGATGCGATCAATAATTTAGAGCTTGCATTCGTCAAACCAAAAAATATAATTTTTGCAAGACACAAGCTTATCACCTCAAAACAAGAAAACGGGGAAACGATTCAACAGCTTATACATAAATGAAAACTACAAAGTCTGGAATGTGAATTTACATCAGTGTCTGCTGAAAAATATAAAGAAGAGTATATAAGAGACGCCTTCATTTCTGGTATTTCATGTAATAATATCAGACAGAGGTTATTAGAAAATTTATCACTTTCTTTAGATGAAGCATATAACAAAGCAGTATCATTGGAGCTAGCGAAGTCTACTGCTCAAGAATATCAGATCAATCCAATAAATACTTCACAATCACAAACTCATGTTAAAAATCATGAGTTTTCGTCGGCTTATCAGAAAACTTTATACAATCGAAAGAAATGGCTTTTTTGTGGTGGAAATATACACGTGCGTTCAAATTGCCTTGCAAGGAATGCGATTTGTCAAATATGTGATAAAAAATGACATTGGGCCAAAGCATGTTGTACCTCAAAAAAATCTGTAAATGCCGCAATGGAAATAGATGACATGGACGCTGTAGCTTCTGTCATAGCTGCATCACCTGCGTGCCTCGGTAAAGCAATTGTAACTATAAAAATAAACGGGGTAAATGCTCAGGCTTTAATCGATTCAGGAAGTTCTAGAAGCTACATTAATAGTTTGTTTTTTGATCGCTGTTGTCTAATGAAAGAAGAATGTTCAGAGAAAGTGACAATGGCTACGACTAATTATACATCGAATGTAGAAGGCCTTTGTATTACGTCAATAAGCATAGGAAATCACATTTATAAAAATATAAAATTACTTATTGTAAAACATCTATGTGCGGATATTATTATTGGTCATGATGTATTAACTCAACATTGCAAAGTTCAATTAAATTTTGGCGGTCCAAGAGCAAAACTTGAAATTTGCGGAGTAACCGCAGCTACGATTCCTCCAGTATCAATTTTACCTAACTTATCGTCGATCTGTAAACCTATAGTCACTAAATCTAGACGTTTTTCTAAAGATGATTTAAAATTCATTGCTAATGAAATTCAGGAATTATTATTAAATGGGATTATTGAAGAAAGCAGATCTCCATGGAGAGCTCAAGTTCTTGTAATAGAAAATGATAATCATAAAAAGCGTCTTTGCATTGATTATTCACAAACTATCAACACATATACTTACTTAGACGCTTACCCATTGCCAAATATAGAGACAATAGTACAAGATATTGCTAAGTACGAATTATTCTCAAAGATTGACTTAAAAAGCGCGTATCACCAAATTCCGATCCTTGATACGGAAAAACCATTAACTGCTTTTGAAGCAGTCGGAAATTTATATCAATTTTGTAGAATTTCATTTGGAGTTACTAATGGTGTAAGTAGCTTTCAGAGAACTATAGACTGGATAATACGAACGGAAAATCTACAATCTACATTCGTCTATCTAGATGATGTTACCGTATGTGGTAAGAATATAGAAGACCATGACTATAATATATGAAGTTTGTCTGCTGTCAAAAAGTACAATCTTACTATAGAAGACCATGACTATAATATATGAAGTTTGTCTGCTGTCAAAAAGTACAATCTTACTATAAATGAGAAAAAATGTACATTTTCAATTAAAAGTATTTCTATTCTTGGATATAAGATTAATAATAAAATGATCACTCCAGATTTAGAAAGAATCAAACCTCTACAAAATTTGCCTATTCCAACGGATGCTGCTTCGTTAAGAAGGACAGTAGGAATGTTTTCACATTATTCTAAATGGATACCGAAATTTTCCGAAAAGATTCGAATTATTATTAATAACAATGATTTTCCATTGAACAACGATGCAGTAAACGCTTTCGAAAGTTTAAAACAAGAAATAATTAAGTCATCTGTTCATGCCATTGAGATCAAAATCCCATTCACTGTCGAAATAGATGCATCAAATTTCGCAATCGGAGCGACACTTTCACAGGAAGGGAGACCTGTTGCGTTCTTTTCAAGATCACTCACGGAGTGTGAAAGAAAACACTGCAATTGAAAAAGAAGCATATGCCATTGTAGAATCTGTCCGTAAGTGGAGGCATTTTCTAATAGGACGAGAATTTCGTTTAATAACTGATCAAAAATCGCTATCATTCATGTTTAATACCAAGCATAATAGTAAAATTAAAAATGACAAGATTATGAGGTGGCGCCTGGAGCTCTCTTGTTTTAAATATGACATTATATATCGACCTGGGAAAGAAAATGTTACAGCGGATGCACTATCTCGAATGTGTGCATCTGTTCATACAGAATCTAAACTATTTTCTTTACATGAATCGCTTTGTCATCCTGGAGTCACTCGAATGTTTCATTGGGTGCGATCTAAAAGCTTACCATACAGCATTGATAATATACGACAAATGACACGTGGCTGTAAAATCTGTGCAGAAGTAAAACCTAAATTTTGCAACAGCCGTGGAATATTACTAAAAGCCACAAGTGTATTTGAAAGATTAAACATAGATTTTAAAGGACCCCTACCTACAAATTCAAAAAATCAGTATCTACTCACTATTATAGACGAATATTCAAGATTTCCGTTCGCATACCCCTGTGAAGACACATCTACATCGAGTATTATTAAGTGTTTGACAAACTTATTTTCTATATTCGGCATACCCTCATACATACATTCTGATAGAGGATCATCATTTATGTCCCATGATTTAAAATTTTTTTTACAAAGTAATGGTATAGCTACAAGTCGAACAACATCATATAACCCGCAAGGAAATGGGCAGGTGGAACGATTTAATGGCACGTTGTGGAAGACAATGCAATTGGCTTTAAAAACAAAAAAATATGATATAAGCCAATGGGAGAGGGTATTGGATCAGTCATTGCATTCGATTAGATCATTACTTTGTACAGCTACTAATGTAACACCTCACGAAAGAATGTTCAGGCATAATCGATCTGAAAACGGTGCAACATTACCATCGTGGTTGATGGTGCCACGGCCAGTGTTTATGAAAAAGCATAATCGGGCTTCAAAATATTCACCTGTAGTCGAGGAGGTAGAGCTATTACAATCAAATCCTGACTTTTCATATGTCCGTTTACCTGATGGAAGGGAAGAGACGGTATCTAACAGACATCTAGCGCCTCTCGATTCATCGGAGTTTATCGAAAATACTATGGAAATTGAATAAAATAATAAATAGATCTGCCAAGTGGAAATATACGAGAAGAAGATAATGAACAATGTAGAGAAGTAATGACAATGGAGCGACCGGTTAGAACTAAAAAGCGGCCAGAATATTTAAAAGATTATGTTACTTAAGCGGCCAGAATATTTAAAAGATTGTTACTTTTACTCGATAGGGTAAATGATATAATACTGGCCATTCGCCATTAATATAACATATATATGTAAACATTGTTTTTAAAATTATTCTTTTGGATGTTCCGTATTACTGACACAATCGTTCTTACATATGTATATATTTTCTGCTTAATAAAACCTAATAACTAGGTTTTGTATTATTCATCAGGTAGTCTGTTGGGAAGGACTATATTCAGCATTATACTCAAACAGGGTGAATTGATGATTGATGCTCATGAATGGATGAAAAAAAAAT